GCCGGAAGCCCCCCCTGAAATTGAGGTGACAGAGAGAGAGAGAAATGGGGTTTAACGTCCACTCGACACAAACTAGGTCATTTCGGGACCAACACATGGTTCAATTTTATTTCAATAGTTCGCTTGCGCATAGGGGTCTTTAGCAGTGGGAGGAAACCGGAGGACCCGGAGAAAAAACCCCACGAGGTTGGACAGACAACCCTACTCCTTGTCACTTACAACCAGGGAATCGAAACCACGCCAGTTGACTCAATGACAGACCGTGCTAATCATTCGGCCATCCAACCCCCCTGAAATTGAGGCCCTAGACTCCAGCCTGCTAAGCCAGTAGGTAAATCCGGCACAGGTTTTGTATCACAGTTGAAGATCTGTGGTGAGTAACCTCTGGAGCAGTTTGTTATTTACGATTCAAGAACTGAGGCTCACTAACCTGTAGGGTCCCATAGGGATACCACAAGTAGCTGAAAAAGGGTTGGTGTGAAATTTGTACAAGTCAAACCTTCAAGGTCCCAGCTTTGTCAAGAGTCCTGAAACCGAAATAGATAATAGAAGAATGTGATTCAGTATAACGGGAGAGAGAAATGGGGTTTAACGTCCACTTGACACAGACTAGGTCATTTCGGGACTAACATATGGTTTAATTTTATTTCAATAATTCGCTTGAACTTAGGAGTCTTTAGCAGTGGGATGAAACTGGAGGACCCAGAGAAAACCCGGCAACCCAACTCCTTGTCACATATAACCGGAGATTCAAAACCACGCCAGTTGACTCAATGACTGGCCTCATGATACAGCGCGCAGGTGTTAACCATTCGGCCATGTACCCCCCCTCCTCCCCCCGATTCAGTATAACACATCATCCTTATATTGGCTACCATAGCAGTTTGGGTATCTGAAGATTTCTGTGGTGGACTTGAAACATGCTTTTGAGCAAGATGTTGCAGCATGTTGTTCTGGCTGTGGTAGAAGACGTTCAACAAACATTTGGTCAATTGGGAAATCTATGTTTATCCGTGGCCATATATTAACAAAATTATTCAGGAAAGAATAAAGAAATAGGTAATTTTCATAATGACTCTATACGTAGATATTGATGTGAGATATTGAAATAAAGTTATAGTATTAATGTCAGATGTTGTATATCTATACATCTAGCCAGTAAGGTATCTATCCATCTATAATCTAGTTTTTATTAGGTTTTATATCAAGATAATGAGCGTAATTATCTCTAAGAGAAATATTTAATGATGGCCTTTAATAAATAGAACAAAAACCCTTCTGCCTGGTTATTGAGGCATGTGATTGCAAACATGGTAGATAAGATAGAATATAAACAAGTTAATAAATGATTCATCGGTCCGTTTCAAAGTTTTATTTGTTGTCCGAAGCTTGGCTAAGTGGGTAAGATGCTGGCTTGCTAGTTCATCCAGATTTTCCGACGTGGTTCCCCCTTGTCAGTGAAGCAGGACGGAGGGCCTGACAAGGACAACTGTCTAGTTGTTCGGATGGTATGAAAAACCGATTCATTTCATTTGTCCGAAGCTTCACAATCACATTTGTGAGAAATATTGCCACATATTGCAACATCAAACATGCGGGGGACTTTTTTGTCCCATGTGCAGAAAATCAAGATTAAATATATTTTTCGGTGTATTAGGCGCAGGGCGAGTTTGGCAGAGGTGTTACGCGAATTACGTGAATTATTGAAATAAAATTGAACCATCTGTTAGTCCTGAAATGACCTAGTTTGTGTCGAGTGGACGTTAAACCCCATTCCTCTCTCTCTATCCGAGTCCAAACCATCTCTCCAGTTAGTTACTAGTAGTTACAGTTGCTATGCATGATGCAGTGTATGCTTACTTCTTCTAGAACATCTGGTACAACTTTTTATTTGAGGAAACCACATTTAAATTACTGCACTGGTGACTACACTTGATGGCATTGCATGATGCAGTGTATGCTTACTTCGTCTAGAACACCTGGTACAGCTTTTCATTTAAATGGACGGTGTTATGCAAATGTGATTTAACCCCAAATTTGAAGTTTTGAGAAAACACCGAAAATAGAAAATAGAACCCATTTCAATAAAGAAAAAAATTCAAAGTCCCAGAAAACTTTTGTCACTTTAACATCATGAAAAACAATATAGTACTAAAATAATAGTTGAAATATGGAATAGTAACCATGGTAACGCATGAAATGTGATTAGGTCATTTTTGCGTAACTTCCAACCAAAATAATCTTAATTTGCGTAATTTTGCCCCAAAATGATACAACTGATTAAACTAATTATTCATCACTAAACTCCAATTCAAAGTCTATGATTCCATTAAAGCTATCAATGTCTTTTCTTAAATTTTTGTCACAATCAAAGCCAGTATAAAACTGTGTGCTATCACGAGGAATAGTGTGCTTCAAATTTTGGATATCCTTCGCACAAAAATTAAATAGAGTGTGGTGAGGTTGTGGTGAAATGCGGGAAAACTCTTTTAAGTGAGAAGGCATTTTCATGTTCTCACTATGCGTACACAATGCCCCAGCTACGCTCTTGGCACACACAATTTGCGCCGCACAGCAACGTCCCAACCGCTCTCAACACGACGCTCCAGCCCCATCATTGATACGCTGTTACAATGCTTTCACAATGATTAGTGGATCATTGGTCTGTAGGACAGATACTGAGCCTCATATTAGGAGATCTAAAAAATAACCTAACTTCACACATAAATCTCCACTTCGCTACGACCTAAAAAAAAATCTGCCAGATCGTGTATGAAAGCGGCATGGACGTGGCGAGATCTTTGTGAGCATTGTATCGAGAGGCAGTGAAAGCGGGGACAATGTAGTGGAAGCGAAGCATATACTGAGAGAAGAGCGGGATGTGGAGAGAGGGGATGGGTTGGGGGCGGGGGCATAGCGAGGACTTTGTTTTGTCTGAAGGGGACTATACGAAGCTCGTAATAGAGGCGTGAGAGCGTAGCACGATCTGACTGGTCTAAAGGGAGCTTGATGAGATGTTTGTCAACGTACTAAGAGTGCCACCATGGGCGTTCTACCCCGCTCTCTGTACGCTGTTAACACGCATTCTTTTCCATCGGGGATCTGCCTGATTTTCGAAGTCAAAGCAAGGTTGTGGTGTATGTGTGAAGGGGGTACACCTCTCTATTACAAGCATGTAGTCACCAGAAGTAAAAAGGCACTGCTGGCGCTTCAATGCGCATTTTAAATCACCAAAGTCGGAATCATTGGGAAGAAAATTGTGTTTCAATACCCTAAACCGAAAATGGACAGTGTGAAGAGAAAGATCTAACCATCAACATAATTACCAGAAGACTGATCTAACCCACACATAGCTTTGTTATGCAAAATGCATTTTCAGAAATAACAGTGATCTAACCCACTTACATCAGACTTGTTTAATAAGCAAAAGGAGCCAGAGTATTTTGTAATGATGTTCTATTAAACAATCTATAAATAACTTTGCTCTATTAATAGATATCAGTTCGAACAATATTGCATATCAATCGTCATGAATTCTTTAATTGAAACATGTACTAAAACGATTTTTGGAAATTTGAGGGTTAGAACACATTTGCACAGCACCGTCCAAATTACTGAACTGGTGACTACACTTGATGGCAATGCATGATGCAGTGTATGCTTATTTCATATACTGAACTGGTGATTACACTTGAGGGAGACCACTTCTCATTTGAGGAGGCCACATTTCAATTACCGAACTGGTGACTACACTTGTGGCCAGTAGCCATCAATTTCTGAAATCCAGGTCCAGACAATCTCTCCAGTTACCTTTAAGTGGATGTCATACATGAGGCAGTGCATGCTCAGTCTTTCTAGATAATTAGCTAACAAAGTTATGTTATATTAATAAGTAACAAGTTCAGTTAGATAACATAAGTCTATTTATGAATGAACAGCAAAATCTATATTTCATCAGAAGCCTTTCCATCCATGGTTCTTGGAAGATGAGAGATTGCCATTTTTAACGTTTTAATATTTTCTATTCACTGAATACTAACTGTCATTGAGTCAACTGGCGTGGTTTCGCCTCCCCGGTTGTACCTAACAAGGAGTAGGGTTGCCTGTCCAACCTCGTGGGTTTTCTTCGGGTCCTCTGGTTTCCTCCCACTGCTAATGAATTAAATTGGGGTTTAACGTCCTACTGTTCTGCTCCGAACTGGACTAATGAAGACGGGCATACGCCATACAGTGTGCTATTATGAGGGAAATTTTGGCCCGGACAGCGGCACTGCAGCCTACTCTTATATAAAATTCCAACTGTCAAGGGATCTTTTATGTACATGTCATTGTTTACACAGGACCTTGGTTTTTCGTCCCATCTGAATGACTAGATAGCTATCCTTGTCAGGCCCTCCTTCCTGCATTACTGACAAGGGGAAACCACGCCGGAATATCTAGATGAACTTTCTCGGCCAATGCAGGGATCGAACCACTTAGCCACCGTGACTCCTCTACTGCTAAATCGCATTTGAATTATTGAAATAAAATTGAACTGTATGTTAGTCCCAAAATGATCTAGTTTGTGTCAAGTGAACGTTAAACCCCATTTCGTCGCCGGTCCAACCTCGTGGGTTTTCTCCAGGTCCTCCGGTTTCCTCCCACTGCTAAAGACCCCATGCGGAAGCAAATTATTGAAATAAAATTGAACCATGCGTTAGTCCCGAAATGACCTACTTTGTGTCGAGTGGACGTTAAACTCTATTCCTCTCTCTCTCTAAACCCCATTTCTCTCTCTCTCTCTCTTTCTCTCTCTCTCTCTCTCTCTCTCTCATTCATGGGTATTGGAAAATGAGAGATTCCCATTTTTAACGTTTTTATATTTTTTATTCATTGAATTCTATTACTAGGATGATCATATGACCAGGCTATATCATTCTCTCTTGATATGCCTTCTAAACTTGACAAAAAGATTTCCCACTTGAATTTACTTTAACAAACTCGTATGACGTTTCTAGATTTCACAATCCAATTAATGAGAACAGTTTTTTTTTTGCTGTATTGCTGGAAGTCAAATTGTCAGCGTCTTTCATCTTCAGTATAGGAGTAAAAATGTAGTCAACTGATTTTTAATTTTTCACGTCCTCCTGTTTCTTCGTTTTCCAATCCCACCTGTATTTTTCATTACCTAAATGTTATCTTTTCTGGAAATTCAGAAAACGACAATTCACAATTAAAGGCACATTATGTCTCAAATTCTATAAAAAAAGGTTTTTTTTCTTGTTTTAATACATCAGTATTGATACTCTTAAATAACCCCCACATGTGGTTTCCTGGTGGGCATTCCATATTTTCATGATTTGAGACCGTCTACAAGTGCATTGATTTAGTCACAAAGTCCTGGCTGAATGAGTCGCATTCCATTTTTTTTTAAAAAGGGGACACCGTTTATTGTAAAATTAAATTTTATATGCCATTATTACCTTAACAAGAATTATAATTTTGATTTTATAACTCCCTTAATACACTCTATTTGTATAATTCAACTACCAACATTTACTATAGTAAATCCTCTATAAGCATGCATTTATATCCTTTCCAAAACAAGTCACTGAAAATATATTAATTTGAGTTTCAAAATACGTAACGCCAAAAAATGGCTATTTTTGGGACATATGTTTATTACTTTAACTCAACAACAAACATATATATTGACTTGAAATTTGATGGTCTTTAGGAGAGGACATTATTACAAATGTTAAATATAAGAAATGGACTGTAAATTCTCCACATTGTTTTCAAACTGTATATAACATCAAAAAATTGAAAACTGCACAAATACTGTGTTTTACCCGATTGTAAGATTTAGAAAAATAGCTGTCCATTCCTGCAAAAATAGTTTGAAAATAGATAATTCAAAATGAATATATTGAAAATTTCATTTAAATTACTTTATTCTGAGCGACTTTATCACTGTTTGAAGTTTTGACATATATTGTTTATTATTTGGATTTTAAAACTCAAAAGATTTTTTAGAGTAATCCGACTTTAACAAAATGAACAAAGAGCATGACAGTGTGTGTCATTATGGGTGGAATATTTGAACATTGAATATGACAATATGACTCCATCGACCATAGTGGGTCAGTGATTGTACAAGATGGGTATAATCAGTCTATCTAGGTCACCTGATAGCCTTTAACTATACCATTTCAAATATATCCGTGGGAAGTAAAATATTTTATTGGGAATTTCCCCATATTCTACTGTGTTGTATTTGAAGGAAATAATTTAACAGATTCCCATGACCTTTGGGAGGGATGGGCGATCAAATAGTCTAATTTTATTGGGAATTCCCAATGCACTTTTGGGTTGTATTTTAAAGATACATTATGGGAGATAAGATAAAGAGCTGGCAGTTCCCACTAGATAATGTAAAGGCAATTTGCTGAAAATTTCAGTCAAATTGATCCACCATCTACCGAGAATTAAGAGATTGATCCATTTCATGATTAAATTATGAATGGAAGTCGAGCAGCAAATGGAATCATAATCCAGTAAATATCACAGGCTAGCAATGCCATCGAGAGTTGATTATAGTCTGGATAAGTTAATAATTTAGATAAAATTTCAGGCCTAAAGAAAGACCTGCAATTGGCAGATTTAGCTCTTGCATAATGTATGTTTAATAAATATCTAATAATTAATGTTTAAGGAAATAATTTTACTGAGATTCTCTTAAAGGGCCAATCCCGATAATATTTTGGAGAATAAAACTGGTTAATTTTGTGTTAAAACCACTTAAAATCCTCTACATGTACCTAAGGGCCGAGCAACTAACTCAATATACATGACACGTTTTCAAACAACTTAAACCCGTCAGTCTTAATCTGGAAGTGGGGACCGGTGCCCAAAGCTGTATTATGCGGTGTCTGGATAAAAACAGCCTTTTATTTATAAAAATAATGTGTAGGTGAAATTTACCTTTCGTTATCAAGTACAGCACATGGGTCATTCACTGTATAAACCTATAAAGAAACGGGAATCGATTATCAGGTCACCCAACGAAAGAATTAACCCAAAATCTTAAAAGGGTTACGTGTCCAAATAAGCAGTTTTGACGTTCACGCCGAAATGACTCAGTATTTTGAGCTCAAATTTTGAGTCAGGGTAAATACACCATTTCTTTATATTTTGGCGCTTAACTTTCATACGAACTCAGACTTTTAATTTTGAGATTCGGGATAGTCCCATTAACCATTGTGGGTCGAATGGGGTGAACTTTAGATAATAAGGTCTGTCATTGAGTCAACTGGCACGGTTTTGATCCCACACTTGTATGTGCCAAGTCTGTAGGGCAGGCTGTCCAACCTCATGGGTTTTCTCTGGGTCCTCCGGTTTCTTCCAACAACTAAGACCGCTATGCTCAAGCGAATTATTGAAATAAAACTGTACCTTATGTTAGACCCGGGTTGACCTAGTTTGTGTCAGTAGACTTGAAACTCTCTCTCTCTCTCTCTCTCTCTCTCCCTCTCTGTTCTTCTGGAACATCTCTGGGTCCTCCGGTTTCCTCCCACTGCTAAGGACCCCTGCACACAAGCGAATTGCTGAAATAAAATTAAACCATATGTTAGTCCCGAAATGACCTAGTTTGTGTTGAGTTGGCTGCAAACCCCATCTGTCTCTCTCACCCTTAATCCTTATTGTCTCAGTGTCTAAAGTTTAACGATGATTTTGATGATGATTACCTGTTAATCCATGTGGCAGTTTTCTTTGATCTTTTTCCTGTATCTCTTAATTAACTTCATTATTTATTAGTCTTTATTTAGATATTTAATTAAATATTGAATCATATTGCATGATGAGGTAAAACTAAGGATTTTTTACACCTATTGATCGTCAGAGAAACTTTCTTTTATCAGGTCCCAAGTCCACAACGCATTCTCAGATTTAAGTTAAGAATTTACTCAACTTTCAATCACTGTTTTCAAGCCTGGAAATAAGGCACCTGTCACAGACAATGTCAGGCACAGATCAGGTTTTGTTATTGATATTATTTGTCTGACACTATAAAGTTGAGAATGTCTGGTATTATTTCGTTAATGCCTGACATTTTGTCTGGTACATTTAAAACCGTTATTTCCAGGCCTACTGTTTATAAGAAATATCTTTGATCCAGAAACACAAAATTTTGCAAATAGTTTCTTATTGATGTATTTGATACATAAAAACAAGAAAAGTTTTATATAAAGGGCTATATTTTAGTTAAAATAAGGCGAACAATTTTAAGTAAATTCTTAAATTAAGTCTGAGAATGCTTTGTGAACTTAGGGCGTATGCCTGTCTTTATTAGCCCAGTTTGGAGCAGAGCAGTAGGACATTAAACCTAATTTCATTTCATTTCATTTCATTTCCATCTTCATTGGCCAGGAGAGAGCAGAAAAGTAGAATGCTAAACTCCCGGGTCATTTCATATTTGTGTCTCTTGGACAAACTTCATAGAAATTAAATAATGTGATTATGTTCTGTAAAATCGGTGGCTAATCTCAACTTTAACAGTAATTATAACTGGAATATCTTTTCTTCCAGTATCCACCTACGAGAAAAATCTTTTTGTCAACAAAGAAAGGCAATCCATTAATGGATATTAGTTTTCTATCTAATTAGGGTCAATCCCAGCTTAGTATATATATTTGCATGCCTATTAGAGAAGTCAGTCAGGGATTATTATTAATAATTCATTAACCTAGAATAATTCAAAACCATGAAAATTGTTCAGTTGACCACTAGTTATTATTATGGATTGTTGGTCTTCTTCAGTCTGATACAGTATGGATAGGGTCAGGGTTATAGTTTGCGCTACATTTTGTCTTAGATTTTGTTGTTGATTTTTAAATGAAACTAAAAGAAATATATAAATTTTAAATATTGGCTATATAGTAGTTGTTCTAGAATTTTCGGGGGTTGGATGGCTAAATGGTTAGCATGTGCACGTTGTATCATAAGGTCTGTCATTGAGTCAACTGGTGTGGTTTCGATTCCCCAGTTGTACGTGACAAGGAGAAGAGTCGCTTGTCCAACCTCGTGGGTTTTTCTCTGAGAACTTAAGTTTCCTCCCACTGCTAAAGACAAGCAAATCATTGAAATAAAATTGAACCATATGTTAGTCTCGAAATGACCTAGTTTGTGTCAAGTGAATGTAAATGTTATAAATTATTCATTAGACATTTATTAACATGACAAGGCCATAATCAAGAATGGTCAGATCTTTATCTAAATCTTACATAATGTATCTTTGATGAGAAAGTGATATAGATCAAATATTAGAGAGTTTCCGCAACCAGTACGAACTACGACGTACGAAGTACGAACACGGCTTCGTACTTCGTACTTCGTTTTTGACAGGTTCCGCAACCAGTACGAACTACGAACTACGAACAGGACTTCGTACTTTGTAAAAAAATATCAAATTAATTTAAATTTTAGTCTCCAAGAAGTCCATTGCAATGTGTTCTTATCAAATTCGAGATGATTCGACCTCGTGGCCGAGTGTCAAAAAAAAAAAAAAAAATTTCACAGCCCGAAAATTTGTCCAAAATCAAAACAATTGCCGATCACTTTGACGCTTATCAACCATATACTGAACTGTAAATGTTCAGGCTTTCTATAATACCGTAAAAAAATGAATTTCATCCACAAATCAGTGAGAAAATCACGATTTTGTACCTTGTTTTTTAACCCCGAACTTTTCCAGAAATCTTTGTAGAAAAATAACGAACCGAAGGTCGCTTATGTCAATGAGAACACACGAAGTGATGACGTCAGCAAAAAAAAACTTCGTAGTTCGTAGTTCGTACTGGTTGCGGAACCTCTCTATTATCGAAATACAGCCATAGTTGATATTTCTAAATAATTTAATATAAAAATCAAATCAATATGACAAAAATAATTGAATTTATGGCAAAAACAATTGTTATCTATCAGAATTTAGACAACTGTAACATAATATTCATCTAGATCATCTAAAGAAAAATTTTAATGCTAATCTGGTTCCGTTTTAGTTTGGTAAGCTTAATCCCTTTGTAAACAGTTAATTCAATTCTATGCACAATCATAGGCCAATAACAGAATTGCATAAATATCTCTTTTTGTATCCTTGTGGCAGGATATTTATTACACACGTTGAATTAAAAAAAAAAGCTACAAAAATTATTTTATCTCTATTTGTCATTTTATGTTTTATCGGAGAGAACTGATACCCTTGTTAACTATAACAATAAGAAGTCAAATCACCAGTCAATTATTTTAACATTTAATATAAAAAATATCGGGTTAACAGCCAGGAGGTTTCAAGATACATAACATCTATCTTAATGAGTTTCTGGTTGTATCCATTAATGACAACCGATACAAGCATAAAAATCTTCATAAGGTAATACAAGAGTCAAATTTTATATGCACGTTGATGAATTATTCAAACTTGAATATAATAGCGTGTCAGGTTCTCTATAGATGAAGTGTAAACACTACAAAGCTTGAGTTTAATTGTCATTTAATTGTGTGTTATGATGAATTCGGAAGCCATTCAACAATGTCATCATATTAGATAAAGCTTTTTGCCTTTAAAGATAACAGTTCAATGTTAATAATGGTTGTGATTAGTTTTACTCAAATGAGGAGCCGCGTAAAATATTACTCGAGGGTTCGACATTTCCCTTGTCTTCACCAACTATTGAATATCATACAGATAATGGTTGATCCCTTGAGACGAGATAAATACAATGACCTCTCCCCTGTAATGACAACTTCAACTAGAAATAATATAATGGTTATATTAAGCTTTGTATAATGGTTTTTATACTAATGAACAGTCAGACGACACATCAATAAATTTGAACAGAAATGGCATAGTTTCAGACATTTCTGAGCATTATGACATGATTAAAGGAATCAAGATTTCTGTGAACTGTTAATGAAAAATAACCCTTAGTTTGATTGAAAAGGACCTAAACTATATCTTGATCATTTAAACAGACAGAAATTCTTTGATTTGTGTGGCAAAAGTATCCAAAGGTTTAAAAAAATGAAATGAAATGAAATGAAATGGGGTTTAACGTCCTACTGTTCTGCTCCGACTGGTCTAATGAAGACAGGCATACGCCATACAGTGTGCTATGAGGGAAATTTGGCCCGGGCAGCAGCACTATGGCCAACTCTTATATCGAATTCCAACTGCCAAGGGATCTTTTACATGCATGCCATTGTTATACAGGACCTCTGTTTTTTGTTCCATCCGAATGACTAGACAGCTGTCACATTGACTGTAGAATATAATTTCCAATCACATTTATAATTAAGATGAACTAAAGTAGACTAAAGATCAATAAATTTTAATGATTTAAGTAATAAATTAATTAGCACCTGATCATTCAGGAAATTAAAATGGTTAATTGGATAATTTGGATATTTTGTACATCAAGAACGGTGTGTTCAGAGTCACTGGTGGTTCATTGAGTAAGCCGCTAGCTTACTGCCCAGGAGGAAATGAAATGAAATGGGGTTTAACGTCCTACTGTTCTGCTCCTAACCTGGGCTAATGAAGACGGGCATACACCATACAGTGTGCTACGAGGGAAATTTTGCCCGGGCAGCGGCGCTACGGCCTACTCTTATATCGAATTCCAACTGCCAAGGGATCTTTTACGTGCACGCAAATGTGTACACAGGTTCTCAGTTTTTCGTCCCAACCGAACGACTAGACATCTGTCCTGGTCAGGCCCTCCATCCTGCATCACTGACAAGGGGGAACCACACCGGAAAATCTGGATGAACTTTCTCGGCCAATGCAGGGAGCGAACGCCCGACCTCCAGGCTAGCGAGCCAGCATCTTACCCACTTAGCCACTAGCTCACTGACCAGGAGGAGGTCTCAGGTCGATCTTGGTGTTGGTCAAGAAACTTCCTGTGGATTTTCCAGGCTGGTTCCACTTTCTCAGTGGTGCAGCGCGAAGCGGCTGGCAAGGAACGTTGTCTGGTAATTAAAGATGGTCCCAAATTTACCTTACATCACGCTGCATTTTGCATTTCTGTTTTTATAGGATACAGTGCACACGCGCTAACCATTCGCCACCACCACCTCCTCTCCCCCCTCCCCCGCCATTGTCATAAGTAGGGGTTGAGCAGGGGGATAGAAGAAGAGGTGTGTAGTTAGTCCCTGAAACATATGAGACTGTTCATATGTAGCATTCATACAGATTATAATGCAACCCAACGCAGCTATTCTGGCCAGTGATTCTGAAGTTGTTGGTCAGCAGATATTATTAATTTCACATCCAAGATCAACCCAAGTTGGATTTCAAGTCTGCCTCCGACGCCTCCTTTTGCTGTGGTACCAAATTTGTATCTCTTGCATAAGGCATTTTGGTGCATAATTTAATTTATTTTTTTTCTTTTCTATCAACAGTTGTAATGGCTAAGCAATGGAAATTTTGATATTTTTGCCACTCTAAAGATGCAATATTTTAAGGATTTTATTCCTCTTCGTACAGGGGGGTTGGATGGCTGAATGGTTAGCACATGCGCGCTGTATTATAAGGTCTGTCATTGAG